AGACATGAATCCAAAACCATGGGCTCTATTTCACATATCCTATGGGATCCTAGAAAACTGTGTAACTTTCAGACTTTAGTTTTTAAAAGACACTAAATGATCTTCAGTTATGAAATACAGACATTGCATTACCTTGTAGCTGTGTAAGATGGCTTTCTTTTCCCTTTTCCTCTACCCTCAAGTCGATCACTACTGACACTTTGGTGTACAAGTTGGTACACCTGATCCTTTTGTATGAATATCTAAACTGCCAAAATATAGTGTACTTTCATGTATTAGACCCACATTGGGGTTCTCAAATGTTTCCTTGGGTAGATAGAAATTAGGTATGTCTGGGAGATTGATATAACATAATTGGTCTCAGAGGGGTTAAGATGGCTGTGAGAAGGAACCAGTACCAACAGCATTAGTCTTTATTATTCTGTTGAGAGTTATGTTAACGACCTAGAGCTATAATGCACAAAGAGCACTGTTATTATTACCTGTATTTAAGTTTACTCGATCTGTAATTGGGTTATCACCCTCACGACTATGACTGTCATCATCTCTTTTTAATATTTTTGGTTTCAGCCTATTTGCTGTGATACTTTGGAAACATACGGATCAAAATATACTAACATTTTATCTACTACATTCATAACAGTTTCTACATGGCTTATGACTTCATAACCCTTTAGGTGTTACAAAGAATTCATGTTAATGTCATTTTTACTTTATACGTTTTTATTCATTGAAGGTTTTCTGTTTTGCTCTTTAAATTTCTCTGAAGTATGTGAATTAAACTGTCTTCTCTGATTTTATAAAGGCTTTTCCATATTCAAATTTACTTTTACCTTATTTTTGACATATCCTTATATAAAACAGTTTTTTGAAAAGCAATAAAGTATATGTGTTTTACAAGCTAGTAGAAAGTTAACAAATTAAATACTTTCTTAAGATAATTTTAATCGTGAATTTTTACTCATTTTTAACTTTAACATGTTCTGGTCTTGGAATTATTTCTGCAATTCAAAATAATAAATAGAAAGCTATCTCCCTCAAGTTCAGAAGGTTCTTCTGAGTAAATCTAGGCCTAATATTAGAAATTAAAATCTGACATAAAAGAAGGAATATAGGTGTATTTTTTTTTTTTTTTTCTTTTTGAGACAGAGTCTCCCTATGCAATTCAGGATGGCCTTGAGCTCACTTTATAGGGCAGGGTGATCTCAAACTCACAATGATCCTCCTGCCTCAGCCTCCTGAGTGCTGGGATTACAAGCATGCACCACCACACCCAGCTCAATAGGTGTATTTCTTAATTTTATTATCTTGACACATTTTCGTTGAACTTGGTTAATAATGATACTTTCAGTCATTGCAAAGTATTGGATGACTGTTAAAGATTTTTAAAGTAACTTTCCAAAAAAATATGAAGAAGTAGACCATACAAAAATTAAATATTTTGAGTGACATCTATAGGAACTTTTTAAAAGACATAACTAATATTGAAGGAAATCTCAAATCACATTTTAATTATTTAATGTCTATATGGCAATTAGTCATTTTTTAATATTTGTGAAGGTACTGTATAAGTTGGTTTAGTTGGTTTTTGTGGTACAGTGGGTGGAAATCAAGGTCTTCTGCATGGTAGGCCAGCATCCTATCACTTGGCTAAGCCCCAACAAAATTGTTTTTTTTTAAATTTTTTTATTTTAAAGAGAATAAAAAGTAATTTAAAAATTAGAAACGATACAGAATTTCACTAAACAAGATACTAGGAATTCAACAATGGTTGTTAAATTGCATATTGTTGTCTTCAAATTAGTTGTTCAGATTGTTTCAAGTACATTTTGCTTGGAGTGAGTTACTGCCACTTTCTTGAGGGAATTAGATTAAAAATAACATTAAATTAACAATCTTGTCACAACACTAATCTGAATGTATTTGTGTCATCATCTAAAAGTATCTCTCTTGGATATACCAGGCTGCTATATCTGATGAATTTTGCACTGTCGACAAAATTTGTTGGTTTCTCTTGGGTCCAAATTGGCCAATGAAATGCGAAGACAGATCAGTTAATTTTAGAAATCAGAGTAATGGGTGTTAGAGCTGACAGTCTTGTGAAAAATCAAATAGCCCCACAACCTACCCTTGACCATGTGGAAAGTCACGCCATCTTTTTGGAGAAGTGGCCTTCAAGAAACCTGCAGACCAAGTTAGAATTTTCTTCTGCCAGTGTAGCATAGTGTTACAAGCTGAGGCTCTGAGACTAGCCTGCTTCAGGTTCCATCCCACAGTGTGTCCATAATGCCTTTGTTACCTTAGGAGTAGGACTACTTCATAAGACTGTTGTTGCAGTAGTGCTCACCTCATAGAGGTGTTATGAAATTGAATGAGTTAGATCATGTAAATAGAGTGTTTCTTACATGTGAGCTTTAAGCAGATGTGTTCTCTAGGAGGCCAATTGTTTTTATGTAGGAAATGTACCTGAGGACAAAATTTTGTCCTAAACTGTGATAGAAATATCTCATGTAAGAATCCATTAGTAATGAGAACAGCAATTTTATACAAAAGCCTAAATGATGTTTGATAAAATCTAAAAGCAAGCATTACAGCATGCAGACAAGAAGATAAACTAATATGCTTATTTGTGTGGCAAATGAAGTAGAGCCACTGCCAAAGCAAAATTTTAATTTTCTATGCAAATTGTATGTATTACAAATAGTTTAAGAAAAATTATATTAATAGATTGACTCATAAATATGGTGAGGCACCCATAATCTGTATTTTATAGATATGATTTTATACACTGATAGATCTGTCAGTAATTCCTCTGGAAAAGAAAACTGTTTGGCAAAATAAACCATAATTGGCGGAGATCGAACTTACAGGGAGAAAAAAGCAAAAACTGCATTGCTCTGGCTCTGAGAGTTCCTGATGTCTCTTGCAAAGGGTGTCTCTAATGAGTGGTGGAGAAGCAAACACTTCCTCTCTGTTTCTCTTATTCTTTATTTTTCTTTTTTCATTACTGGCTTTCATCCTTTCCTTTGGAGAACTACAGAATCCCTTTCTTCTTCAGCTAAACTTGCATCATTCTGTCACTAATCTGTAGTGGCTTTTCCCTATGCCAGGAGAACTTGGGGCCAGTCTTTTTCTGTCAGTAGGTTAGAAATTGCACCCTATTCTAAAATATTGTATAGGACAAGTAAAGTTTATAAACTAGTTTGAAGAATGTGGCAGTAAAAAAGCAATCCACAAAATTTGTTGCGTTCACTTGTAGTTTGGTTAAATACAGTTTCTGTGTCATTTATCTGCCATCCTTTGTGCTTCCTTTATCATCTATCTAAATAGAACATCTGACTGCTTGATAATTTAGAACATATCTTTTTAAGTATCAGTATCATTACATAAGCACTTTCCCTCTGTTTTCTGAATGTTCATAACTGGATATATTTGCTTTTGATAAAATGCCAACCTCTTCCCGATTTAAATTTCTCTTAGATCACTATAATAAAGTGCCAGTATATTATTATACTCCTTAAAAGGTTTTAATGCTATTTTCTTCACGTTGGCCAGAAATATAAATTGATAAAATGTCAGTATAATGTTAATTACCATCAAACACTGGTAAATTTCCATGTGTGGCCAAAATTGTATCATTAAATTTTCTTCCAAAACTATACAACTTCAGGAACTAGAGCTAGGAAAACTCTTACCAACCATGTACTCCAACTTCACTTTATAATGGATGAAGAAATAAGCCCCAAGAGTCAGTGACTTACCTGACGGCACAAGAGTACGAAGTTCTTTTAGCAAGGCTGGTGTCCACTTCACTATGTACACTGTCTTTTTTCAGCCCCGACCCCTCATCTAGAAGCCTGCTTAACACACTGCTTTCAGAGTAACATCTTTCCCAGACATTGCCTTCTTCGTAGCAGTATTAACAGCCCACAAGTTCTGTCACTACAGTTTTCTCTAGTTGAAAATTGTTTTATGGTAGAAGTTGATTGTGAAGAAATTATGGTAATGTAATGCATTGGCAGGAAGTTAATGCAAGTTTTCAGAATATTTACATTATTCCTAAAGAGAACATCTTTAAGGCAGAAGGATTTGAGTATAAAAGATGAGATACAATTATGAAAAGACCTACTTTGCTAAACTTATGGTGGGAAGATACTTCCTTGATTTATTCAGATGTTCTTTTTTTCTGTGATAGAAACTTGAACTCTTCTCTAAAAAATGGGAGTATTTATTAAATCCTTCCTCACACATTTGAAAATTGGAATAATACAGTTATTCACCTTGCTCACAGTTTACTATTCTTAGTTTAGAGGAATGGTTTCTCATATAAAATACAAACATTTTTATATGATGGTTCATTCTAAGTGTACATGGTTGACATCTACCCTATTGCCTTCAATGAGAAAATTTTTAATTGTTACGGGTATATATTTGCAGTACATAATGATTGCATTCATTGAGAGGAGTTGGAACATGTACAGAATACATCCTGATTCTTTTTTGTCTCTTTCCCATCCCCCCCTCTGTCTTATAGTCTCCTCTTTTGCAGAAGTTCTATTTTTCTGTTTGCTATTATCTGTTCTTTTGCTGTTTATACTTTGGGTTAACTTACAATCAAAGCTAGTGTAATAAGTTCCAAGTTACATACATGTGTGTATTTCTACAGTTAACTTGGAGTCTTGTAGTTTACAATCCTGTCCTTAGTGACTGGTATCTTCCGATTAAATTTCTCTTAAAAAGAAAAGTCCTTCTTAAAGCTCTCATTGTAGTAAATATATTGTAGTTGACATTTATACTGTGTAATAAATACACTTCTTAGAACATATTAAATTCAGGTAACTGAATTTAAATCTATTGACACTAGTCTTAATATTTTTCTTTAAAAGGGAAACAGTCAGAAAAATGTACTTTGCTTCTTAATATATAGCTACTTAGAATTTCTTTAAAAATAACTGAAAAAGTTGGATTAAGTATGCTCCATTGTTTTCCTTTCTTTGCAGCTGCGACAGTTAGTTAATATGTGCATCAACCCGGATCCAGAGAAGCGACCAGACATCACCTATGTGTATGATGTAGCAAAAAGGATGCACGCATGCACTGCAAGCAGCTAAACACGCAAAATCATGAAGAGCATAACCAAAATAATTTAAAGTATTTTGTGCAGATCATACCTCCCCGTTCTTGTCTGGGTGTTAAGATTAATATTTCAGAGCTAATGTTCTTTGAATCCTTAACCAGTTTTCATATCAGCTTCATCTTGTACCAGTCTAAGTCACCTTCTTGCAAACCCAAAATGACTTCGAGGTAACCAAGCTGCATGTTAGCAAAGAACGTGGTTCAGGACAGTAGTCGCCGAAGGTTTTTGACTGAGAGTTACTATATTTTTTTTTATTAATACGTGTTTGCAGTACACTTTTTGATGGTAAATTGTACTTAGAGTGTCAGTGCCAAATAACAAGGTTGCATCCTGTAGACATCAAGGTAGATGCGAAACCTGAGGAAATACTTGCTGATCCACCACAAAGGGAATGTAGAGTTTTCTTAATTGTAATTGCCATAAGTTTAGGGAACTAGGTGTTTTCAAAATTGTATATGATATTTTATACTTTCTGTCTTGAAAATGTGTCTTTAGGAATGATTTAAACATTCTGAAAACTTACAAATCTGAATATTTGACTTGTTTGCTTTTTGTAGTCACTTATGGACATTTAATTTGAAGTGTACATCTTAGCTCTTCTGCATTATCACTGTCAGATATAATTCTTATAATAATTGTAAGCATAAACTAGTTGATAAACATTTAGATTCTTAGCTTATACATTCAAAATGCATTTATCAAATGTGAAAAGATTGGGGGCAAAATGTGAGTCAGACACTGAAGAGTCTATTATTTTAATAGCTTTGATATTCTATTTACATTAAAATGGTATAAATGAATCCATTTAAAAAGTGGTTAAGGATTTCTTTGGCTGGTTTGATAGTTTTTAAAGTTGCACGTTGCTCAAGGCTTTTTGTTTATTGTTTGTATGTACATTTGAAAAATACTCTGAATAATCTTACAGTACTATATTTCAGTTTCTTTATAAGTCTAAATGTATTTTAACTCATAATTGTACACTATAATGTAAGCATATGTTTTTATTGAAGATTTTATTAAAGTTCTGATTGGTCCCCTTCAGAAATTTTTTATATTCTTCAAGTTACTTATTTATATTGTGTGTGCATTTTTCCCATTAATGTTTCCAATTTTGTGGGAACATTTCCCTTTTAAAAGACATAGCCACAGTTTCTTGAAGTGAAAACATTTTTTAACTTTTTAAAATTTGGGCTATCCTGTATGCATGTATATCTGATTAAGAGAGGAAGAAAGAATGTGTGTTATACTGTACCTGTGAATGTTGATATAGCCTCAGTTCACTTAGGGTTATAATTTTAGAATACATTTAAGGAAACAAAAACTGGCCGTTATTGTAGCCAGAATTGTTATGACATTAACTTTTCTGTTGAGATGTTGTTGAAGAAAGTACTATATTTGTGCATGAAGATGAGAGATGGTAATGTTTAATTTAGTTTTAGGAAATGGGAAGAGTTTAGCAAATGTTGTTGTGGAGATACAGAGATACGTTTTCCTCAGATGCCTTCATATTAGTAGCAAACAGTTTCCCATGGAATTGTGAAGCTAAAAAGCCGAGTGGCAGCCGTGGTTATAGGACTCTGCATGCCACCATAAAACCTTGGGAAGGACTAGCCCACCAACAAGAAAACCTTACATTCAGAGAGCACCTACCTTTAGCCCATATAACTGGTTTTGTGGTTTTTTTTTTTTTTTCACATAATATTTTTCTTAGGTCATTTGAGTATTTCAGGTCATTTGTAAATTATAGAAATATAAAAGGCAAAAGCACAAAATCTATTTTAAAAATCTAACAGATTGTGTATGGTATCTGAAGGGTAACTTTATCTTGGAATAAGTAAAGAAAAACCTGTTTGGTCATTTGTGAGAGCTGAGTGCATTGTATTTCCCAGATTCTAGTGACTCATAACATTTACACTAAGTGTCAATAGACTTTTTCCCAAGAAGTATGAGTCGCATTCTTCTATTAAGCATTAGTGTCACGTTCATTTTAATGTAGTATAATAGACTGCAATGAAAAGCCCTGTGGTTAACAGATACTTGCCTTTCTCTTCCAGTCTTTAGGATTGCATGGATCTAAATTCATTAGCTGAACCTGACCACAGTGACTTGTAAGATCTAAGCTTCTCTTCTTAGTGTTTTATTTACTAAAAAGAAACAGCTAGGAAGAATTTAACTGTCAGTGAAATCCATTACTATTTTCTATGCAGGGAAATATTTATCTGTTTCAGATATTTTATCTTTTTAGAATACATTTGATTATAGTTTTCCTGAAGAAACGACTTCATAAATCCAAATTTAATTTTTAATGGGATCATTGCAAAGAGTTATGGAGATTAGAGGTTCTAATCTTTTTTTTTTTTTTTTTTGAGACAGGGTCTCACTGTTTATTTCAGGCTTGCCTTGAGTTCATTGTGTACCCTAGACTGGCCTCGAGCTCACAGTGACCCTCCTGCTTCAGCCTCCCAAGTGCTTAGATTACAGGTGTGTGTCCCCACACCTAGCGAAAGGCTCTAATCTTTGTAACCACCTATAAAATGCTGTCTTTATATTTCTGCTTATAATTAATTTTGTCATATTAAAATGTTTCAATTGATTGGAGCAGTAAAATGAATGGTACACCTTATTCTAACCCTTTCTTAGGTGTTGGTACCAGTTACCCAGGGAATGTGGAGTAAGTGTTTTATATGCTGAGGTTTAGGAGCAGTGAATGAAGGGTATCCCTATGTAGACTAAGTGCTCAACAGTGTGTAGTGATTGTAAATTTAGTAAGATTTTACAGTCAGTTCATGAATGCTCTACCTTTGGAAATAGTGCCTATTACAAAACACCTCTCTTGTATCCAGGTATTTAGGTGTTGCTGTTGACATTTACCGTGATATTTATTTTAACCAAAATGTTAATTCACATTAAATGTTTAAAATGAATGTATTGTTTATAACCCACAGATGCATAATTTCAATAGTACTGTAATATGGAGTTTTGTGAAATATTTTATTTTGTTATGCTTTAAATACACACACCAAGATTTTATTAGCTTTGAAAATTGTACAATATCCTAATATAAATGTATAAAAATAAAAAATTCGTGAAGTTTGTGTATCACAAGTCCCTGTCACCACCCTCACTCTGCCACTATTTCACATAAAAGACAAAACAGTTTTTACACATTTCTGTAACGTCCCCATTGCAAGGAGCCTGCAAAGTTGAAACAGTGAAGGTGACTGAAAGCACCGCGTGCTGCTGGCGCGCTGACAGACTGAGGTCCGCGCATGCTCGCCGGGCGTCTTCGCGTGCGCCTCTGCTCTCGTAGTGCCTCCTCTTCCGTCTCTGACCAAGAAACGTTCTCCAACAGTCAAAAACAGAATATTCACTTTTCTGTTTTGAACCTTTGGAATCTAAAATGTAGGCAGAGTCAGTTCCTGTGACTGTACTGTGCTAACAGTGTTACAGTTTAATTGCATTTTCCTTATTTAAGTAATAAATGAGAATTGCAAGTAGGCCTGCGAGTGTTGAACTAAAACCCGCTCGCCTGGGGAGTCTACTTGTAGGCCGGGTAGAGCCCGGTGAACAGGGGTGACCTTGTCATCTGTGGCTTGTGGTGAGGAACCTTAGACTAGTTATGTGTGTGGAGCGGGTGTGTGTATGCATAACTAAAAAATAATGGTAAATTTTAGCCACAACATAGTGTTGGGGCCTATTTGTAAGATTCATTTCAAGTTGCATATGTGTTTATAAATGTATTTATTAGTGCAGCCACAGGTATCATAGTGGTACATGTTTAAAAATCAAAATATTGGCATTGACAAGTTGCAGTAAGACCCTTGAATTATTAACGCAAAATTCGTGAAGTCCTTACACTGTTTTTAATTACATGTGAATTTCTGGTAAAATTATGGTGATTTAAAGATTATCTTTCAGAGAAAGATATGAAAGTTGTAGGATTTATTTTCACTTAAGTTTATTTTAGGGAGTTATTTTTCTAGTCGTATGTATCATCAATTCCATTATTCTCTTGTGTATCTAAATCTAATTTTAAATGTTAAGTGATAATGTAAAAGGAAACTTTAGAGTTAGGATTTGTAACCAGGGACTTTAAATAAATTACTTTCACTGTGAGTGTTACAGTGCCTAAGAAACCATTTTTCACTGCTGTTGTAGTACTTTTCTTTGTTGCTGGGACAAACTCTCCAAAACCTGCACATTAGAGGCTAGGTTTATTTTGGCTCTTCATCTGTAGAGTTTTCAGCCCGTGGTCCACTGGCTCCAAGCCACGACATCACGCGCACAGCCTGGCAGGGGAAGAGCTGCTCCTGGCATGGTGGCTGGGAGTAGAGATCAAGGGAGCGGGTGGTAGGAGAGAGATCAGGTCACAACCACGATGACCCGCCTCTTTCCAGCAAGCCTCACCTAACAGCAGGTCCACCCTGATGCCCACAATCCAGCCACCGTCCAGAAGCACCACCTTTTAAGTGCATGAGGCTTTGGGGCGACACCCAGGTATAAACAGCAATGCTTCCTTTTCAGAAATATAATACTGTAGGTAAATGACTGAATTTCTCAAATCCGTTCTCACATGTAAAATGGGGATACACACACATCATCTTTTTGTTGCTGGGACAAAATAGCTAACATACACAATTTAAAGGGGGAAAGGTTTATTGGGGCTAATGGTTTCAAAGGTTTCAGTCCATGATCAGGTGGCTTCAGGCAGAGACAGTGGAACGCATGGCGGGGGAAAAGTTCACCTCATGGCGGCCAGAAAGCAGGGAGAGGTGGAAAGAGTCAGAGAAAAGACACCCTTCATGTCCCCGGGGACCTATTTCCTCCACCCTCCTGACAATCCATTGAGCTAGTCAGCTCACCAGTGGGTTAATTCATTGATGAGATCTGCGCTTAGGCCCTGATTGCTGAAGCCTCATCTCTGAACGTGGCTGCATTAGAGACCAGTCTCTGAATATGTTAGTCTTCGGGAGACAATTCATATTTAAACCCTAACAATAAATACAGAAGTATAAGTTACGATGAGTACTGTGGAGGAAATGAGATACTGAGCATGTGACATTTAAATTCTAAAGGAGTCAATCAAGGAACAAGGAGAAAATTAAGATGAGGTAGAGGAAGGAAGCCTAGGAAGATTTTGAGGTGAAAACTGGCTTGATTCTGAATCAAGGTGAGACTGAATGAGCAGGGGTGGGTTAATGCAAAGTATGTATGGAGACTTTCTACTTGCAAAAACGAATAATAGAATTGGGAGAAAATATATTTCCTTCATTGGTGGAAATTAAAAATCTTGACCTGGTAGAAGAGTGATTACTGGAGATTTGGACAGATGTGGAGTGAAAGGAAAGAGGAGAAATATACTTGGATATGATCAATGGATGGTTTATTCATGTATGGAAATATCACACTAAACCCAATGAATATGCAGAATATGTGTTCATAAATAATAAAAAATACATTAGGAATGAAAAGGGAGACATTGCCAATAGTTCAACTAAATATAAAGGATCGTTAAGAGATTATTGCAAAGAGCAGTGCTAACAAATTAGAAACCTAGACGAAATGGCCAAATTTCTGGACATACATGACCAATGTGCACTAGAAAGACATATAGTTTCTGAATGAAGCAGTAATAAGTAGTGAGATTAAATTGCTGTATTTTTAAAAGCCTTATAAAATTTTTTTAAAAATGAAATAAAAGCCTCATGAAGGTCCAAGGTGGTGAATTAAGGGTCCTTAACAGCTGCTTCTCCATATGATATAATCACAGCAGATGGAAAGCAGCTGCTTACTAAGGTGAGCGAGGGAGAATGCTCGAGTTCAGTAGACCGCTAGTATTGTGGTGGAGTCACTCCATTTAAGTGGGAGTGGCCAGCTGAACGGAGTCAGTGTGGTTCAGGGCGTGGAAGACCCCCTGGAAGACTGTTGCCAGGGGCATAAAAGGAGAAGAGGAGGGGAAGATTGCATGCTGTTGATTTTCCTGGGAAAGCTGGCCACAGCTGGTTTTCCTGATACAAACTCGCTGTTCTCATTGGAGGAGCCGCC